AGAAGCCTTTTTCCATTTTGTGGTGGTTCCATGTTGGAAGTTCCTGGCCCTGCCAAGTGGCTGTGGTCCCCTCCGCTCCCCCCCCCAGCTGCTCTCCCTCTCTTCATCCTGGGCCCACAGGAGCAGTGACAGGAGGGAGAGGCTCCAGCCCGGGGCCCAGCCTGTCCCTACTCTTCTGGGAGTGCTCCCTGCCTGTGGGACCTGTGTGAGACAGAGCTGTCCTTCTCCGGTGTGGGACAAACAAAACCACCAGGCCAAAGACAGAAGCTGCCCACTCTGGGGGTCAGCCGGCTGAGGCGGGGTTGTAGGAAGAGGATTTCTACCTGGCTGTAAGCCTCTCCCTGAACTGGCTGCTTTGCACGATGCCCCGGATGTGGCTGATGTGGGCGTGGGACCCAGGTGTCTTGCCAGCCTCTGCTGTCTTCCCAGTGTGGCCCTTACAGGCTGCGTGGGATGGGCAAGCTCTTAACTTCCCTAGGCCTCAATTTCTTCATTTTAAAATAGGGATAATCTTACCCACCTCATAAACGTTCTGAGAGGTACACAGTAGGCGTATAACATATGGTAGTTCCTTACTGAGTGCAAACTAGTGGAGTGTTTTTGGGATTTGTGGGTACTGGCTTTGCTTCTGAAGCTGTGGGGAGTGGGTTACCCTAGGGGGAGTCAGGTATGGGCCCCGCAGGAAGATGGGGAATCCCAGCCCCCATGTCCCAGCTGGGACATCCCATAGCATGTTGGCCCATCTGACTGGGTGGCTGAGCTTTGGGGCTCCTCTGTATCCTCAGGAGGGTGGGGAGTTGCCAGGAGGGGGGCCCTGCAGTGCAAGTGAGTCTTAGACATGATGACACTCTACCCCAACCACTGCACATACATCTCTTAAGAACAGGGGCATTCTCCGACATCACCTTGCTAGAACGATCATGCTGTGCAAACTTAACATTGGTACAATGCTATTGTCTACGATTTAGTGCTTATCATCTGATGCTTAGTCTGCAAAGTGTCCTTTAGAGCTGCTTTTGCTTTGTCGTGGGAGCTGGTCCTGAATATTTTCTGGACTGCCTTTAACGTGGATCAGATCCTCAGCCGTCCCGTGTCTCTTATGATATTGACTTTTGAAGAGTCAAGGCCAGCTGTTTGGCAGAGTGCTCCTCCGTTGGGGCGTGTCCGGAGTCTCTTCATGATGTGGCTCAGGTCATGTGGGGCAGGCGGGAGTGCTCCCGGGGTGGGCGCTCCTCCCCAGTGGGTCCCATCAGGAGGCACCTGCTGTCCGCTGTCCTCTGGTTGGCGAGGTTAAGTTTAATAATGTGTTGTTAAGGGGAGTCTCCCAGACTTCACCATTTATCACTCCCTAAGAATCTTTCCCATGGTGCTTTTAGTATCTTTTACTGATTCTTACCTAAATCAGTGATAAAATGGTGATTTTCTGTTTTTATCATTTATTCTACATTCTTTAGTAGAGAAGAACTTTTCTTCCTGTACTTAAAAAATTTTGAACTTATTGATACGAACTCATGGCTTTATTGTTGTTGTTGTTGTTGTTGTTGTTGTTGTTGTTACACTTTGATGGGATTTATGGGCACTGGTTTTGCTTGGAAGCTGTAAGGGGTGGGTGGCCACAGGTGAGGTCAGGGGATCTGACTATGGACATCATTTTGCTGCTCATCTTGTCCCAAATTTGGCCCCTGGGAGCCCCTTCAGGCTGGTTCTGACATCCATCCCTTTGAGGCTCCCCATCCGATTTTGAACACTTCCTTACTTACTGGCATAGGAAGAAACTCTGGGCTCACGTCGTATGTTCCCTGGACAGTGGTCTTATTTTTTTGTTTTGTTTTGTTCTGCATGAAAGCAGAGATGCTGGTTCTGCCACAGAGAGGAGAATGAGGCAGAGGAACTCAGAGAAGCAGTTATAAAAGGCAAAGAAAGAATCCCTCAGCCTTACCCTGACTTGTTAGCCCCTAATCCCAGCCCTTCCCGGCCTCGGGCGGTGAGATGCCTCGTCTGCTTGTTTCTAATGCCCCTCTTGCCTTCGCTGGTGCCGACATGCAGGCTTGGGGCCCCTTCTCCTGGCCCAGCCAGCCTCCTCTGCTCTGGTCCCAGCGAGACAGGAGGCAGACACCCCTCAGCCCCGATGTCCTTGGCTCCCAGCAGGTGTGGCCGGGAAGGGAAGGTGTGGCCGGCTGGTGGTGAGGAGGGCTCTCCCGGGATGATGCCACGCGCAGGTGGGCTGCAGAGGGCAGACGGAGGCTATTCTCAAGGGCTCTCTGCTCAGGGCTGGTCCCCTGGCTGCTCTCCGGCCTTGGAGCCCTTCCTGGCAGTGTCTGTCCCATCGAGCAGAAAGCCCCTCCCCTCCCCACCTCCCTAGCTTTTCCTCAAGGACCAGCTCGGTGGCTCCTTCTGCAGGAGGACTTCCTCCCTGAGCCCCCTAGCTGGGGGATCTGCCCTCTCAACTCCCACAGACGAGCCTTCTGTCTCTCAGGCTGAGAGCTCCTGATCCGCAGCCCCACGGTGGGGTCAGGCACAAGCTGGAGCAGGAACTTGTCCAAGGAGCTCGTCCACGTCTGGGTAGGACCAGTCCGGGACCCGTGAAGTCAAGGACTTGATCCGCATGCAGCTGGAGACCCAGAGCTCTATGCCAGGTGTTATTTTAAGCCGTGTGCAGAAAACTATTGCCCAAAGCTACTCATGCCATTAGTCAGGTCCTCTGCATCATAGTTGGGATTATTACTCAGCCAACATTTGCCTTCTGACCCTCCTGCCGTGGGCAAGGTATGCTTTCTTGCCCTGGTGAGGCTGGGGTTGGCCATGTGACTTGTTCGGCCAATAAAAGGCTGGCGGATGTGCCCTTGCAGAAGCTTTGCATGGTTTGGTTTGGCTCTTGGGCTCTGCTGATGTGCCACGAGAACGTGCCCCGGGAAGCTGTTGGTCCAGGGTAATGAGAGACATATGGACAGACTTGGACTCAGCCTGAAGCTTGGGGCCAAGTCCATGCAGACCCGTGAGCAAGAAATGGAGTGGTGTGTCACACAGCATGACAACAGCCCGCGAATGCACTCTGTAAACCGGCCTGGTTCAGTACTCACTGCATGCTTGCACGCCCACAGATAGAGCGCTGAGCTGGTGACATCCTGGGAATCAGTCTCTCTGCCCCCATTTTACAGCCGTGAAGACTGAGGCCCGGAGAGAAGAATTCGGTATGGTGAGTCAGGCGTTGAGTCTGGCTCTTCACTAGCTGTGGGACCCTGGCCAGATTGAATGAGGGCTTCAGCTTAGTTTCCAAATCTCTCAAATGGTGACAATAACCCTTACAAGAGACCATTCAGGTAATGTGCCAAGTACAGAGTCTGTGCTCAATAGTCGCATTGTCTGTAGGTGGCTCTGCTCCCGGGGAGTGGCAGAACCCACACCTGTCCCTGGGCTTCCTACCCTCCCTCCAGACACAGGCAGAGAAGTTCTGGATGATTCCCTCTGGTCTGCATGGGCTCCGCCACCAGCATCTGCATTTAACCTCAACTTTTCCTACCTCCTGGGAGTTCCCAGAATATCTCTTGCTTCCACCCTCTCTCTCAAATGGAAATAAGACCCCATCTGGATCCCAGGCACCCTGCTCCCCTTTCTTGCTGTGGCTGAGCCCAGGCGCAGCCCCCCCATGGCCTCCCCAGAGCACAGAAGCGTGGAGTGGGTCTGGGTCACAGGTCCCCAGGGGCGGCCGGCAGGACCTCAGCTCGGTGGGCTCCTCCCGGCTTGGCTCCGGCCTCACTGTGACCACCCAGAACATCACACAGTAACGAAGGAGATGGAGAGACTGACCCGAGGGCTGACCTCCCAGCAGCCCCTGTGTGAGGACCCACATCTTCCCTGCATCGTTCACCGGGATGCTACTCTCCCTCCCAAGAGAAGGGTGTCCCCGGCAAACACACCCTCATACCATGGTCCAGGCGCTGCTCTGAACGGTTACACATGGTAGCCCATGTCATCTCCACGACAACCTTCTAGAATCAGTACTTTTATTATTTCTGTACGTGGTAGGCAGAAAAATAATCCACCAAAGACGCCCCTGTCCTAATCCTCGGGGCTTGGGAATATGTTACCTTACACGCAAAAGGGGTTTTGCATCCTGGTTAAATTGAGAACTGTGAGATGGAGAGATTATCCTGGATGTCTTAAAAGATGGAGGGAAGGAGGCAGAGAGAGAGAGAGAGGTTTGGAGATTGGAGATGCTACCATTCTGCTTTCAGAGATGAGGCAGCCACAGTCCAAGGAATGTGGGCAACCTCTCTCGAGAAGCTGGAAAAGGCGAGGAGTCTGATGCCTTTCGCCTCCAGAAAGAAACGCAGCCCTCGCGCACCTTGATTTCAGTCCGGGGGGACCCACTTTGGATTTCTGACCTCCAGCGCTGTAAGATAGGACATACGTGCTCTTTGCAGCCCCTTGGTGAGTGGCCACTGTGATGGTGGCAATAGGAAACCAGTACACCATGTCTGGGGCGGGGGGATGGCGGCACAGAGGGCTCGAACAACCTGCCCAGCGTCACACAGCCGCTCAGAGTCAGGAGCACGATTTGAACCCAGGCCGTCTGCTCGTGACCACAGACGCAGGGCTGCCTCTCACGGGTCCCGAGAGGGAGTCCCCAGCCCTGCCGGGTCCAAGACCAGGGGCAAGCTCCTGGAGTCCTTCTTTTTTTTTTTTTTTTAAAGATTTTATTTATTTATTTGAGACAGAATGAGAGAGAGAGAGAGAGAGAGAGCATGAGAGGGGGGAGGGTCAGAGGGAGAAGCAGGCTCCCCGCTGAGCAGGGAGCCCGATGCGGGACTCGATCCCGGGACTTCCTGGAGTCCTTCTAATCTCATGAGTGAAAACGGGCCAGTGGAGCCCTCGGCAAGGCTGTGCGGGGGCCCGGAGAGAAGGCAAGCCCGGCGGACGCGTGTGGGCCGTTGACTGGGGCCGAGGGCCCGGCTCAGCCCCCCTCAGCCTCCCCGCGCCGCCCCCACACCCACCTCCGCCTCCTACACGGGCTGCAGCTCGGCTTCCAGCTTCTTCTTCCGGACTCCGTCCACAAAGAAGAAGTCCATGCCGATGAGGGTTTGCCCCAGGGGCGTGTCCACCCTGCTGCCCACCACCTGGTTCGTGGAGTTGGGGACCGTGTCGGAGAAGAGAGGCACATTCTCCAGCAGCTGCACAGGCTCCTTCTTGTTGCCCTGAAGAGAGGGGACAGGTGGTGTCACAAGCTGCCCGGAACAGGGGAGAGGCGTGCACGCGGCCAGGCCCTCAGCAGGGACGGGAGGGGAAGGGGGCAGGTGGCCTCTGCAGGCACCAGCCCCCAGCTGCCTCCACCCCAGGTCCGCCCCAGAAACGTTCCCACATCGTAACCGTCGGGCTCCACGAGCCTCCACGCCGTGGGCAAGTCTGCGCAACCCCCCCTGCCCCCCCGCGTAGGGAAATGCCACACGCCCCGGACCCAGCTGCTCAGACCCCTCAGTCACTGTCCCGACCCCCGAGGCAGCCCGGGCTCCCTCTCTAACTCCTGGTTTTGAACTTTATCTTAGTAAGACCGTGGCTCCTTTCTCTCCAGGACGTGTTTTCGAGGTTCGTGCACGTTTTTGCGTGTGGCTACAACTCCTTCGTTGTCCTTGCCACACGTTACGCGCCCTCGTGTCGCTTGTGCGAACATTCCACGTTACGTACCCACCCCGCCACGGATGGCATTTGGGTCTGTTCCCGGCCTGGGGGTCCGAACATTCGCGCACATGGCTGGAAGGTGAATGAGTGAGTTACTGCATGAGCTGAGAACAATCTGATGAGCCCTCGCGTCAGGTGCACTCGGGGCTACCCTGGGGCAAATAGGGGCTACAGGACCAGCGAAGGAACAGAAGGAACAGGATCTGCGCTTTCCCCTGGGAAATTCCAGGCCGAGGGGGCCCCACACCTTTGGGCGTGATGCAGGTGTCGTGGTCAGGTTGCTAATCCCTAGCCCTTGGCAGGGGGACTCTGTAGGCTGGAAGCCCAGGCCGGGAGCTCAGTGTAGGATTTCAGGTCTCATGAACGACATCTTCTATCCCAGGGCAGGCAGCAAGCCCACGGGCTGGGAAGGCAGACGTTAAACCTTCCCCTAAAGCTGGCAAGGCGTGGCCACTGCCTGGGATGACTTGGCACGCTGCTCATTTTCCAGGTTGGTTCTTTGACAGTTCTTACAGCCAGATTCATCCAACATCCGGTCGTTTATCCAACATCAACTGAGTGCTAAATATTTGCTAGGTGCTGGGGGGTAGGGCACGGCTGGTGAGTGGGGTACAGCGGTGAAGCTGGTTTTGTCCTTTCTCTTAGGGAGCCCACAGCCTGCTGAAATGGATCACTGGAACACAACAGGCTATATCAAAGGAGTCGGTTGGATATGCTGGCGAGTAAAGAAGAGAGGGATCTGACCGAGCCTGCTCAGGAAGGAGAGATTTCTGGAAGGACGCACTTGAGTGATGAATAAGAGTCCACCAGACTGACAAGGTGGGGAGGGCATTTCAGGCAGGGGGAGAGCATGCTCGAAGGTGTGGCTAAAATAGCATGTAGGTCAGCGTGGGGAGGCAGGCAAGCTTAGATCATGGGAAGCGTTGTGAGCCACCCTGAAAAGTGCAGGTGTATTGAAGGATTTTAAGCAGGGGAGAGATATGGTCAGTTTTGTGGTTTAGGAAAGTTGTCCTGGTAGCAATGTGGAGTCGGATTGGAGGTGGTGATATTAGAAGCAGGGAATTCGTTTCCAACGTATGTTCCGCCAAGCTCATCTCCACATGGGGCACCACCCCCCACATCACTCTGGACACATGGCTGACATCCTCATATGGGGGAAAACATTACCAGAAGCAGACACCTATCATTTCCAGTTGGTTCATCTTAATAAAATCTAGAAACATTGGGGAAAACTAATATCTAAATGCTCTGAGCATTTTTTTCCCCCAGACCCTGAGTTTCTTGACACAAGACAGTGTATATTTTTTTGTCTCTGTCCATTCCAGCATCCAGCACCCAGTAGGTCCTCCATAAACGTTAGATGAATGAGCACACATGCCCAGTGCAAGTGTGCATGTCAGGAACGTCGTTGGCCTTACCAGGGGGTCATAGTCTTTCAGGAAACTCCAGTGCTGAGCCCTGAAAAGGAAAACACGTGGGCAGTGACATATCATCCCATGACATTTTTTAACAAATGGCTTTCACTATGTCAGGTGAACGAGTCAATGCCACCGATGCATTTATTACGTCACAGGGGAACTAAAGTAATCCAGTGAAACAAACACCCCAAACCAACCAAGTATTTATAGTGTGGCCTCCACACCGAGCAAATATCTCAAGGATTAGTGACGTTTCCCGGAGTGGGATGTGTGGTACCAGAGGAGGTGGCCCGTGATGGGGAACGCAGAGCTGCGAGCCCACTGTGTGCGTCTGCATTTTCGGAGCCACGTGGGAGCCCTCAAGTGTTTCGTGAAGAAAAACCTCACTTTTTTTTGTAGCCTCTCAGTGTGCACAGCAGAGGACAGTGGGGACAGGGCAGGAGACCGGGACAGTGACAACGAGAAGGGCATTTTACCTGTGCTGCTAATTTAATTCTCATTTTATTCTGTTTTTAAGAAGTTGAACAATTCTGTGAGACTTAAAATAAAAACAGGCTTCTCTGCCCCAATCCTCATAGCCCCCGAACCTTACAGCGTCTGGTCACGTTTCCAGCTCTTTTGCTGTTTCTTTGGGCCCATCATGGAATGGTAAATCCAGGTTGCCATTTCTTGGGTTTTTGAAACTAAACATATCTGTAGACTTTCTATTATGGGAGATTATGAGTTAGCTTTCTTGCCCCTTTTCCCTTTCCTCATTTCTTCCAAAATTATTGTATTATGGATTTGGGCTGAACTGATATGTATTGTTTATATCTTTAGGATTCTGTAAATACTGTTCACTGAGCAACTATCTAGGATCATGGGATCCCCTTCCCTTCCTTGGACAACTTGGAATTTTTTTCTAGGGTTTATAATCCCCCTGGTTTTCTTAGCTTTCTGTGTACAGATCACTGATTCCAAACTCTCCAACAAAATTGTAAAGCCTCCCTGTGTGATCTTCCACACAGTCAAATGCAACAGGTAATCCACCGGCTCATTCACATTTGTTCTCTAGAGGCCACTGTCTGGGAGACTGGGTTGCCCTGCTCCCACGAGGGTTGCTGCCCAGGACCCGCTCCTGCCATCCTGACCTCCCCTTAGGGGTCTCCTCTTTCGGGGTCCCGGGCCTTCCTTTCTTGTGTACTCTCCTGTTGTGGAGCACATCCTCCAGAGTCTGTGCATGCGTGCATTTCTTCGGTTCTAGAAAATTCTCGAGCACTTTCCTCCTCCAAAATTTCATCTCTCCCAGCCTCCCCTTGGGGAGCTCTGTTGATAGGTATGTTGGATCTTCTTGCTCTGTTCTCTAGGGTTCTAATTCTTCTTCTATGTGTTCCCCCTCCTTGTCTTTCCGAGTAATTGTGATGAATCTGAGTTTATGAATGCGCACTTCAGTTGTGTTTTGTATTTCAGCGTTACAGATTTTTTTTTCTAGAGGTTGTTTTTGGTTCTTTTCCAAGTTGCCTCATTGTTCCGTGCTCAGACTTTGAGCGGAGCTCTCTGTCTTTAGCCTACCCTCCTGAGACGTTGGGAACCTCCCCACCTGACCCTTCCTGGGGCCCTGTTCCCTCATCTGCTTCCCCTCTGCAGTTGACCCTCGCGTCCCCCCCGGCCCATGCATCTCCTCCCATCCTCCCCAAGTGTCCTGACCCTCCCACCCACCGTCACCCCCTCTTCTGTCATGTGGGAGCCATGTTTCAATAGCTTCGGTTTTGAATTGACAGAAGGCAGGGGCCTTGACCTCAGAGCCACACTAAGACTTAGGGAGAGCCAGCGAGGTAGGAGGTGGGAACACCTGGTCCCTGTCCTCGCTCTGCTTGCTGCCTGCTTTGCGGGCTCTGTGGCCCTGAACGAGGTCACTGTGTTCTTGGGCCCTCAGTTTCTCTATCCAGAAAAACCTCAGGAGAGGGGTTTACGGAGCACATCTCAGGTGCTGTAAGACCTGATTTCAAAGACTTGGTACAAAGAAGAATGTCAAATTATCTCAATACTTTTAAAAATATTGACTACATGCCCCAAAGATAATATTTTGGATAAGATACACCATTAAAATGGATTTCACTAGTTTCCCATTATATATATATTTTTTTTTAATTTTTTTTTTAAGATTTTATTTATTTGCGAGAGAGAATGAGAGACAGAGAGCATGAGGGGGGGAGGGTCAGAGGGAGAAGCAGACTCCCCGCCGAGCAGGGAGCCCGATGCGGGACTCGATCCCGGGACTCCAGGATCATGACCTGAGCCGAAGGCAGTCGCTTAACCAACTGAGCCACCCAGGCGCCCCATTTATATATATATATATTTTAAGGCTGCTTCTAGAATATGGAAGATTTCAGATGTGGCTCATACTGTATTTCTGTGGGGAGCGCGGCTCTGGATTTCCCTAAACTCTTCCTCTTGGGGTCTGGGACCCCTTTCTTCTCTGGCAGCTTCTCTCGGTCTCCTGGCTACTTGCCGTCCGGTGACTGTTGCTGGCTGTGTGCTCCCCCCTCATCTCTGGGAGCCCTTCCCGGGGAGCGTGGGTTCTTTCTCGCTCGTGAGCAGATCCACGTGTCATAAAGTTCACCCTTGCAGAGGGTCTGGTCCAGTGGTTTCCAGTATATTCAGAGTCCTGCACCATCACCGCTCTTTTTGTCACCCCCAGGAGAAACGCCCTGTCCCTCAGCGGTCACGTCCGTTCTCCCCTCCACGCCTGGCCGCCTCTCTGCTTTTCATCCCTGTGGGGCCAGTGTCCAGCTCCTGATTCCTGCCACTCCGCGGCCTCCTGGGCGGCCACCCGGCTATGTCCGGCCTCGAACACCCCACCAGCTCTCGCATCTTCACCCTGGAGCTGCAGTTCACCCAAGGATGAACCCCTGGATCATCCCACTAACGATCCAGGCTGGAGGTCCGGCCCCCTGACACCTCCTCCCCGCGCCCACATCCGCTCAGCTCCCGGGTCCTCCTGCGCAGATCACCCCGCACCAGAGAGCCCTGTCCTCGTGAACGTCCCCCCACGCGCCCCACGTACACCCCACGTATACACCGCCCACTGCGCGCACCCTACTCATAACCCACACCCAGCACACATGCACACCCCCCCACAGCCCCACTCTCTACACCAACACTGCACACACCCCACACACCGCACATATATACCCCCCAGACCCACACCCCACACACCACACACATTCTCACTCCAATCCATCAACAATTGTTGGAATTCTGCCATAAAAACATTCCTTGAATTTTTCCCAGATCTTTGGCTAGATCACATCATGCTCTTCCTTAAAACCCTTGATGGTGTCTCATTACATTTAAAAATGTGATCTTTTACAGTATATGAGATGTTCCTCCTACTGCTTATCTTGAGGCTCCCGTCCCCTCACTGACGGGTGGGCCACGGACAGTCTTTGTTTTGTTTTGTTTTGTTTTGGAATACACCAAACTCTTCTTGGCCCCTTCTCAGATTTCAGGGCTCCGCCTCCCTCCTCGGAGAGGCCTCTGTAAAAAGAAGGCGCCCACCCTCCCCTCACTCCCTGACACTCATCACACTGTACTTGTCTCTCTGCTTGCTTTTTGGCTGCCCTGGAGCCGGGTTTAGGGCTGTCTTGTCCCTCATTACAGCCTGACGGCGCGGCTCTCCTAGGAATGTCTGGATTGAATGAATGCATGAAGGGATGTCTCTCTCCTGGGTCAGAGGGCCAGGGCGTCCCAAACCCCCAATGCTGTCATGACTTCCTGGCCAGCCCGCAGCGCTATCCCAGGAGCTCCAGCTGGAGAGATTATTCCAAAGGCAGATGGGACCCCAGAGTGAAGGAGGGGGGTCACCTGGCCCCTGCCCACCTCTCCCTCCCACCCTCTAGTTTCCGGTCTGGCCCAGAGCACTTTTCCATCAACACCATTTGCCTGGCTTACTCCTTCTCATGGGTCTCTCTGCTTCCAGAAGCTTCCTAGACCCTGAATTAGCTGGGGCTCAGGCAGGGCACTCACCAGCGCTGTTGGCCCCTCCTCTCGGCCTCCAAGAGCTCCCTCCACAGCTGGTCCTGCTGCACACCATTCGTTCCCAGGGCCAAGTGCTCTGCTTCTGGGGCCTGGGGGGTTTGGCGATTGCCGGCGAGACCCCTGCCCACCACAGGGCCAGCCCGGGCCGTGGAGGAGTCTAAGGCTGACAGCCTGGTTGAGGGCCGCTGGCACCCAGCTGATGTGCTTCTCCGGAACCCAGGGGTGGGGTGGATCCCCGTGTGTGTGTGTGTGTGTGTGTGTGTGTGTGGCAGAGAGACAGAGAAATAGAGAAATTGAGAGAGACGGAGAGAGAGAGAGAGGCTCCTGTCTGAGCTCGGACCTCTCCTGGGACCCCCTCCACTCCTAACTCCAGGAAAGCCTGAACAGGGGTCCCCCTCACTGGCCCTCTAGACCCCAAGCTCAGAGTGGCTGATGCGGGCTGGGGAGAGAGCACTTGAGCCTAGCTGTGTTTCGAGCTTCTGCCTGTGTTGACTGTTGCCCGGGGGACAAGGCAGCTCCCACGTGTGTGTGTGACATCTGAACCCCGAGGGGGGGGTTGGAGAGAGTTTCTGCGTCGGTGCCAGGCCCAGCTCAGCTGCCCCTCAGCTCTGACCCCTGGCCCCCTGGCTGGAGACCTCAAAACAGCATGGAGGATGGGGGAGCGACCAAAGCCCGGATTTCTGGGGCAGTAAGAAAAGACAGGATGCGGGTGGGGGGGGTGGGGGGGGGTTGGGCGTTGGGGCCCATCCTCCAATTACCACATGACCTTGAGCAGTCCCTGTCCCTCCTGGGGCCTGTGAACTGACAATAGTCATCCTTCCAGCTCCCCCGCGGAGGCGCAGATGCAGGGCTCCCGCGAGAAGGCGGATGGAGGTGCTTTGTGAGCTCCAGAGTGGATACCCGCCGATGCTCGGCTGCCAGAGGGGTTCTGAGCAGTGGCCGGCAAGGGAAAATCAGTGACACTGTGCAGTTACTACCCGTTCTACCCGCATCAGCCTAGAGGGCTTACAAACCACCATCCTTCATCTCGCTGAACCCGGGTCCTCCAAGACAGGCATTTCCAGCCCCATTCTACCTCGGAGGGAACTGAGGTCCTCACCAGCGGGATTAAGTGAGTGTCCAAGGTCCCCCGGTTACTCGCTGAGGCTTGGCCTTGTCTTTAGATCCTCTGAAGGAAACAAGGAGAACCCGGTGGGGAGGTGGAGTCGTGTTCTGAGCCTTCGGCCGCGATTCTGCTCTGACCCAGTGCGGCCCACGTCGCTCTGTGGCTCCAGGCCCCCCTCCCTCATGGCTTCTGCCCCCAGCACCGGGCACTTCCAGCCCTCCCGGCTTCTGAATGCCCCCTGTATGTGTGGGCAGATGCACGGCTCTTTCCTTGAAACTTCCTGTGGACCCATCCGCTGGGCGTGGTGCTCCCTTCTCTGCGCAGCTGGGAAACAGACCCCCGGACAACACAGCGCTGACAAAGCCATACTCCCTGGAGGTTTGCCCGGCGCCCCTGGGGTGTGGGGACGAGTTCAGCCAATGACCCGAGCTCGCACTGGAGATTCTGCTTTCAAGCAAGAGGTGCCCCAAGGAGTGAAGAGGGGAAGAGGATTTGCCAGGTGGAAAAATTGGGGCGAGTAGGAAAAGCGTGGATGCAGGAGGGAGCACTGGTATTGGGGGGCTGTCGGGGGAGAGGCGAGGTCTGAGACTGGCCAACAGGGCCCCGGGCACAGGGCTGGCCCGATCTGTGCCTGCAGTTAGTGCGCAAGGGAAAGAACGAGAAGCCGCAGGAAAGAGCAAGAGGCAGGGGAGTACCATTGCTATGGCCCAGGTGAGCGGTGGGGAAGCCTGGAGTGGAGATGGGGTGACGGCCACCAGCACTTGCCTGAGGAGGAGGCCGAGTGATGTGACCTTCTGGGACATCAGTCCAAAAGCAGAGGTGGTGGGGCCGGTGGGGGCCGTCTTTCCTCTCTCCTGGGTTCTTCCTCCAGAGCTGGGCCAGGTGGGCTGGCATTCCATGACCTTGACGTTTTCCCGGTAAAGACGGGCTGGGTGAACGCCCAGAGCCCAGAAGCAGGCTGCCCCGGTGGTGGTTCTCTCTTCGGTGGCTGTGCCCCCAGCACAGCCAGGACAGGTCTCTACCTTGCCGAGGGGTGGCAGCTCTGGCCTCCTCGAACATCTAGAAGAGGTCCCATGAGTGTGTGTGCAGAGGGCACTGACTGCTGCATGGGACACCTCTTTTAAGGTCAACTGCAGGCTGAGGCTTGGAACAGCCTGGAACAGCCATGGCGTTTGCCCAGATACCTTGGCCCAGGTCCCCTGGCCACATGGTCCGGAGACAAGGAAGAAGACCAAAAAGGCCAGCTAGGGCATCCAGGATGACCAAGTGCCTGATGTATGTGAGGCTGAAGACTTCTGTGGGGGTTGGTCTTTAATTTAGAAGCCATTTCAGACTGGCAGATGGTAGAGGGATAGATAGAAATGTGACAAAGCAAATACAACAAAATGTTAATTGTAGAGTCTAGGTCATGGGTATATGGGTGTTCACTGAACCCTTTTTTCACCGTTTCTGTATGTTTGAAATTTTTCAAAATAAAATGTTGTGGGGAGAAAGACTTCACCTGCCAGGCCAGCTTGAACACATTCTGTTTCCTCAGTCACTGAGCCGGAAAAGTGTCCAGATCCACTCTGGGTGGGTCTCCCTAAGTCCAGCCTGGGGGACCCCCCCCCACAAAGGGAATCAGGACACTGGGTTCCAGTCCCAGCTCTGCCAGTGACTTGCTGGGTGTCCTTGAGCAAGTCATTGCCTCTTCCACACCTCACACCTTGAGATGTAACTCTATATACAACCTTCCAGGACAGGACAAAAATCCCTGGATTTGGGGGTTGCTGGAGCTGTATTTTAATGGATTGCTCCCAACCCCAAGAAGGACTTTAACGTAGGTTCTGGTAGAACCTTACATCCTGGGCTCTGGTGTGCAGCGACTCGCGGGGCCCCCGTGGGCCAGGTGGCAGCAACTTGGGAGAATTCGCCAGGCTGAGTGAGGCTCCGCCCCGCGGGGCAGGTGTGGGTGGGGTTTGTTCGAGGAGCCCCGCCAGCCGCCTGCAGACCCCGCCCCTTTCCGAGTTGGCCGGCGGAGGGCGGGTCCCTCGCTGGAGCTCCCGCTGCAGGGCGGGGCCGAGGAGCCGCAGGGAGCGGGTCCAGCAGGTGTGACGTTGCCGGGCAGAGTTGGGAGCAAGCAGAAATGGGGGTCAGCAGATGAGAGGCAGGAATGGGGTGCAGGGAGAGGCGGGGCTCCGGGAAGGCGGGGGCTGCGGTGGGGCAAGTATGTGCCTGTCTAGTTCAGGCTTCCCTCCTGTCCCCTAGATCTCCCCTTCCCAGATGAAAAATTTGGCTTAACACCAACCTCCGTTGCCCCCATGCACACACCCTAAAGGCCTTATAAAAGGTGGTGAAAGCCGAAGGATTCAGGGCCATCGTTCACACTTTTTTTTTTTTAAAGATTTTATTTATTTATTTGAGAGAGAATGACAGAGAGCACGAGAGGGAAGAGGGTCAGAGGGAGAAGCAGACCCCCCGCCGAGCAGGGAGCCCGATGCGGGACTCGATCCCGGGACTCCAGGATCATGACTTGAGCCGAAGGCAGTCGCTTAACCAATTGAGCCACCCAGGCGCCCCCATCGTTCACACTTTTTCAGCTGCTCCTACCGAGTCCCCAGAAAGTTCTGAGATGAAAACAGTATCATTCAAGGTAATTTATGTGTGGAGAAATCCACACCCCCTTGTCATCCCAGCCATTTTCACTTTAACAGTCACTTTTGATCCTACTGTTTGTTAGTTCTTTGCTGTCAGTTTGCCCACCACTTTGTACTCAGCTTTAAAAAATTTAACACCAGAAACATCTTTTCATGTCGTTCTTCATAATCTTTATACTTCTCACTTTGATCAGTTTCTTAGAATCCGTGTGTCGTAATATACTTAGCCACTTTCCCTGTTCTTAGACATTTACTTTATTTCTGGATTTAGCATTAGCTCTGATGGATGTCTTTGTGCCTCTTTCTGTTGCCTTGTTTCAACAGGACATGTTCCCAGGATGGGATGACCGAGTCAAAGGACACGGACAGTTTCATGACAGCAGCATACAGAGCACGCCTCTCCAGCCAGGCACGAGTGTGTCGGCTGTGCTGGTCCCCACCACACCGGGAAGCTGTGTGTCAGGGTCTCTGAGACCACCCCCAAGGCAGACGATTTGCTAGGAGGACTCCCAGGACTCAGCCGACGGTAATGCTCAGGGCCCTGATTTATTTTGGCCAAAGGAAATGAACCAAAATCAGGAAAGAAAAAAGGCGTCTGAGACAAAGCCCAGAGAAACCAGGCACAAGCTTCTAAACCGTCCGCAGAGGAGTCACATAGGACACGCTGGCTCCCCAGCAGTGAGTTGTGACAACACGTGTGAAAGGTTGTCGACCAGGTAGGCTCTTGGTTTTATTTTTTTAAGATTTATTCATTTATTTGAGAGACAGAGACCGAGAGCAAGCACTCGAGCAGGGGGAGGGACAGAGGGGGAGAGAGAGAGAATCTCAAGCAGACTCCCAGCTGAGTGCGGAGTCCTATGCAGGGCTCGATCTCATGACTCCAGATCATGACCTGAGCTGAAACCAGGAGTCAGATGCTCAACCAGCTGAGCCACCCAGGTGCCCTGACCGGGTAGGCTCTTTTTTTTTTTTAAAGATTTTATTTATTCATTTATTTGAGAGAGTGAGAGAGAGAGAGAGAGCACACGAGAGGGGGGAGGGTCAGAGGGAGAAGCAGACTCCCTGCTGAGCAGGGAGCCCGATGCGGGACTCGATCCCGGGACTCCAGGATCACGACCTGAGCCGAAGGCAGTCGCTTAACCGACTGAGCCACCCAGGTGCCCGACCGGGTAGGCTCTTTAGAGACTCAGTGCCGAGGGCTTTCATGGGGGGCAAGTCATGTTGCTACCTCTGTGTAGCACGTCCCCAAGTCCCGGAGTCCCAGAAGGAAAGCCCATGCTCAGCATGAACCATATTGTAGCACAGTTTATGCATAGGGAGCCATTTTTATCAGGTAATGGAGAGAACCCTCTGGAAATCTAGGTTCCCAGAGCCCGGTGAAGGGCCAGTCTTACAAGCAGGCCTCGCTGAGGATAGTGGTCTCAGGCATGCTCTATTAACTATTTTTCACTTGTGTTATTGCGCTCACTAACACTTAACTAGTCCCCATTTTCCCCACGAGTATCCTTGATAATTTTCAGCAATTAGGCACTCCACATTTTCGATACCAATCTAGGCTCTGGGAGATCTGTGGGAGATCATTTAAATATTCCCTGATAGATAATTGCATTAAAAATAATAATTGTATAGCACTTTCAAGTTTGAGAGTGTGCTTGCCTTTCTCACTGAAGTATGACAGCCTCGTGAGGGATGGTTGATGCTATCTGGATTTGGTGCAGAGCCTGGGTGCTCACTGGTTCCATGGGCAGGAAATAGGGTGCCAGGACCAGAACCCCTGCTGACCGCCATTTCTGGTCTCTGCCTAAATTATTATTTGCAGAGGAAAAGCTTCCCACATAAACAGTTTGACCTTGGCTCTCCAAAATATAAACTCAGTGGCTTATATTCTGAAGACCCTGGGTCCCTGGGAATTGGGGGCATTTTCAGCACTGGAAAAAATATTCTGGGGTCATCATCTTTATTTTCTTTATTCTGGAACTTCCCACTAATGGGCCGCTGAATGCTATTTAGGAGAAAGTAGTTGAATTGGGGATGGTTGCAATGCACATGTGGGGCAGCAGGGGGCAGCCTGTAGCTGTGCATCCTCCACCAGCTCTAAACTCTGTGATTCCCTCTCGTTCTGTCATCCCAGGGCGCTGAGAGAAGCCAGGCGTCCTGAAGGTTTGAGGCACTCTGGAAATGAGTGTCATGTCCAGAGGTGTCCATGAAGGAATTCAGCAGTGGGCCTGGGGGGAACCGGGGCTTGACAAAGAGTCCTCAGTTAGCAGTGGCTCTGGGCAGGGGTGATACCCCAAATGGTTAGCAACAGGTAGGGCCCAGGCACCAGCCAGCCAGGGGGGCACTGGAGGCCACCTGCCGCCACACAAGAGTGCAGGAGTGAGAGGTGGGAAGTGGGGAGTGAGGGGGGGATTCGGGGCAGCTGTTTACCAGGTGGTATGAAGGGATCTCGGTATTGGAAAACTGAACCAGTGCTTACAGGCTGATTATTAACCCGGATGCGGTCTGGGGGGGCCTGAAGCAGTGGCGTCAAGATCCCTGCAGCCCAAGCGCTGTGGATTCAATGGATCATGGGGGGGGGTAATTATGAAAACATGAGCTTTTCGCAAACCAAGGGGGTATAGTACTCTTACAGCAGATCGGGCCGCCTTGCCCTTGGCTTTCTGAGCCCCCATCATTTGCCCACCCCTGCTGACCCATGCAGGTCTCTGCCCCGGAAGCCTGGTCTGGCAGACCTCACTCCTAGAGGCTCCCCTGAGCTCCTCCAGCTGCTCGGTGTAGTGGTGGTCTCCCAGGTGAGAGGCTGGGGGCCGGGCTGGAGCTGGGGGCAGCTGGGCGGGCGGGGGGTGTGGAGGAGAGCACTGCCGGGTACAGAGCGTGGGATTTGTGTCGGGCAGACCTCCGTCCCAGCTCCAGCCCCGCCCCCTGGGTGACCCTGGGGAGCCACTTCACCTGTCTTCCACCCTGACCCGGCCCTGCGGCTGAGAACAGGCTGGGAAGGTGGATGTGAGCGGCCCTCCAACTCAGGAGTGTAGTGCACGTCCATGCTGAGCGTGTTCGCGCTCAGTTAGGTTCTTCCAGGGAGAATCAGGTCTAGAATGTGGGAGTGCCCAAGGATTAAAGTCCAGCAAAGTACAGTGACTCCCAGCAGCTTGTCTCCCAAGAGCGAGTTCACTGGAATCTGTAGACTGGGTAAAGCGGATCGCCCTCCCCGTGTGCCTCATCCAGTTACTGGAAGACCTGTGTAGAACAAGAAGTCTGAGCAAGAAGAATTCTTCCGGCCTGACTGCCCCGCTGGTGGATTGGTCTGTTCTTGTCTTTGGTCTTAAGCTGGGAAATCAGCTCTTCTTGGGTCTGAGCCTGCCGGACTCGAACTTACACCATCGGCTCTCGTGGGCCTCCAGCTTGCCTACTGGACTTCCAGGGACTTGTCAGCCTCTGTGATCCTGGGGGCCAACCCTTTCTAACAGAGCGATCTCTGTCTGTCCATCTACCCACCTATCCAACTCTGCATCTCTATGTCTGTACATTCTTCTTTTTTAGAGAACCTCAGTAATACAGATGGGTCTTATTTTGTCTATTTTACAGATGAGGAAATTAAGTCCAGAGAGTTTAGATGGGAGGTGGGAACTCAGGGTCAGATGAACACAGATTGGACCGTCTGAAGCCAGCACCCATCTTGTCAGGTCATATCATCCCTGGGCACACCTGGACCAGCAGGGAACACACAGGCCGAGGCTCAGGAGGTAGGGATGCCTGCTTCTTCTTCACAGGAACCCATAGGGCAAATAGTTAATCAACACTACCCTAAAGATATAGTCACCAGATGTACCTAATGAAATCCCGAACATAAAGAATAAAGACATGCACCCCAATGTTTATAGCAACAATGTCTACAATAGTCAAACTATGGAAAGAGCCCAGATGTCCATCGACAGATGAATGGATAAGGAAAATGTGATACACACACACAATGGAATATTACTCAGCCATCAAAAGGAATGAAATCTTGTTATTTACAGTGATGTGGATGGGACTAGAGGGTATTATGCTAAGTGAAATAAGTCAATCTGAGAAAGACAAATACCATATGATCTCACTCATATGTGGAATTTAAGAAACAAAGCAGATGCACATAGGGGAAGGAAAGGGAAAATGAAATAAGATGAAAACAAAGAGGGAGGCAAACCATAAGAGACTCTGAATCATAGGAAACAAACTGAGCATTGCTGGAGGGGAGGTGGGTGGGGGGATGGGGTCACTGGATGATGGGCATGAAGGAGGACATGTGATGGAATGAGCACTGGGTGTTGTATAACAACTGAAGAATCACTAAATTCTACCCCCGAAACTAATAATACAGTATATGTTAACTAAAATTGAATTAAAATAAAGAATTAAAAAAAAGAATAAAGACATTTTTCACATTGCAAGCCTCTTGAGATGGAATCACCACTGGGGACCCAGGTGAAGCAGCAACAGAAGTTTTTCTAACATGACCTCATGGGTCTGCAGTCAACAGCACCCACTTTCTCAGGAAACCCCTGCCCGAAATTTTGCCCTTAAAAACCCTCACTTGCAAGCCATCCAGGAGTTCAGGACTTTAGAGCATTAGCTCCCATTCTCCTGGGTGGGGCCATACCGATACGTAGCCCATCATTCCTCACTGCAAAAGCTCAGGTTTTGTGGGCTTGCTGCACATCGGATGAATGGACTCTGTTTCGA